TTCATCATTCAGTTGCAACAGTTGCAATAGTACCCAAGAACAATGCATTTTGTTTTTAAAATTCTGTATGTATATGTATGTATGTATGTATGTATGTATGTATGTGTGTGTGTATGTGTATGTATATATGTGTGTTTGTGTGTGTGTGTGTGTGTGTGTAGTATTTGTGCTGATAAATACATATATATAATCTCCAAATTCTGTACATATACATACACTCCTCTCCAGCATAACTAAACGCTGAAGGTGCATGGAACACTGTTCCCTTCCCATCAAAGGTAGTCCCTATTTTTCTACTTGCATTTTTATGTGCTTCTGAGCTGCTAGATTGGCAGAAGCGGAACAAGTAATGGGAGCTCACTCCGTTATGCAGCGCTAGGGATTCAAACTGCCAAACTGCCGACCTTTCTGATTGAGAAGCTCAGAGTCTTAGCCACTGAGCTACTGGGTACACACACACACACACACACACACACACACACACACACACACACACACACAGGACACTGGAACAAGTGAGCCAGGATTCCCAACACTATTTATTCTGCCTAACTATCACTCATTTTGGAATTTCTGCATTGATATAGCTCTTTCTTGTAACAAGAAAGAAAAAGAAAATGAAAACAAAAGGGAAAGGGAAAGGGAAAGGAAAAAAAAGAAGGGAGGGAGGGAGGGAAGACGGAAGGAAGGAAGAATTTTAATGGATTCTTGAGTTTTATGACCTATATTTCCCTGTGGACAGCAAAATGATGGGGGCAAGCTAATTATTACTTTGTTTAATTTTAAATCCAGTGCTGGAGAGATTAATAATTTGCACATTAATCCCAAACAACAACAGACCTCATAATACAATGCAAATTCAATGGAGTTAACAAGTATACTCTGAAAACCCACTTTATGCTCAAAATCCTAACCAGCTGATGTATTTTTGCTATAATATTTTATTTGGAAAGGCTCTATAATTTCTGGTGAGATGATTTTTACTTTTGTTTAAGGCACTCTTTGCCCAGGATCCAGTGAAGAGTTAAATCTGCTTAAACCCAGTGAAATTAATAGGCTGCATCCTTATAACTATAATACGACTTTATCCATATTCCTTTCTATTCTGCCTTTAGAAACAGATCCTGAGAAGGGAGAGGCAGGAGAAAACAACAACACATCTTATAAAGCAAAGCTACATCAGATGCCACCAACCAAAACTTAGCATTTGTGATGAATTGTGACTTTTGGAATTACGGTATTAGCTAAATACTGCATCATTTGAAAATCTGAACCTATGCAAAGTCATGAATAACATGTAATAAGGGGTAGCATTCTGTACATGGTAACCATTAGTTATATACTTTTCCTCCATTTCAAGCTAAACATTATTTGTTTATATTTCATATTTCGTAAACACCTATCACCCTTGGATGACTTATGATAGTTATAAATACATATTTATTAAGCTACTTATTAAACTTTTAATAAATAAAAGCTGTTTGTCAGATTCTTTTTCTCCTCTGGAAAAAAGATATTGTGAAACAATACCAAAAATGACCCCAGTTAAAAATATTCATTTCCTGTAAATCTGCCCCACAGAATTAACTAAGCTCCGATTTCCAATTAATTTTCTTTTTGGCAATGTACAAATAGTACTATATTTTTTGTGTCTACTTACAAAATAGCAGAGATTGTAGAGCCTATGAAGTAGTAGGGTGCCCCAACTTTTCTGACACCAGGGGCCGGTTTTGTGGAACACAATTGTTCCATGGACCAGGAGCAGTGGGGGCGGGGATGGTTTCCTCCACAACCTAGATCCCGTGCATCTGCAGATGAAGTTTCACCCACTTGTGTGGCCCGGTTCCTAACAGGTCATGAACCAGGTGTGGGTTTCAAATCCCGGGGCTACCAGTTTCCTCATGCTCGCGTGTGTGTGCCACTTCTGTGCATGGGCAGAAGCATCCGGGTGGGTGGGCAGAGCCTTCTGCCGCTGCCACTACTGGTTCACCTGATCTGGGCTGAACTGGGAGCACCCACCTGTCATGAACTGGTAGCAGTCTGTGGTTTGTGGAACCCTGCTATAAAGAACATTACCCTTATAAAGGACATGGCTTCAATTCTTTCATGCAACATACTTTATCTGAACCATTCCTCTTGCGCTTTTCTTGAAGGCGGAGATAACAGGGATGCAAAACAGAAAGCACAGCAATATTTGCCTATGGAGAAGTTGTTCTGAACTAAAGTAGAAATTGCCACCTTTTAATTAAAAAAAAAAACACCTTTCCAACTGGGGAAAATGTGAGTTAACAATAATAATGGTGCCAGTAGTTCTTGGCACACCATAGTCAAAAAAATCTTGGAGAGCACTTAGAAAATATATCCGTTCACAAAATTTACAGCTGTCAATTACAAAAGGATCTACATATATATACTGTGCCAAAACATCACAATATTCTAGGTTCTTGGGAAGAACTTGATGCATGTGAAAGCCAATACCACCTAAAGAATTGGCAGCTGTGATTTCACATTAATCATACTTGGCAGCTATGATTTTTATTATTAGGATTATTATTACTCTGTTGTTTTGCATGTACATTGAGAGCTTATGCACTGGAGTCAAATTCTTTGGGTGTCTAATCACACTTGGTGAAATAAAGTATTCTATTCTATTCCTTTGCTATGCTATGCAATTATTATATATTCAAAACTGTGAAATCAGGATAGGTTGAATAGATAGATGATAGAATGCTATTGCTATGCTATTCTATCATCTATCTAGTCTATTCTATTCTGATTTCACAGTTTTGATTGAATAATACCAACAGATAGTAATATCACCTTCTGGAAACTTTTATTTTTTAATTTACATACTTGTCAGCACAGCTTATAGATAAACAGCCTTTTTAAAAGAATTGTATTTTCTATGCTGCTTGAGCAATATTTTTAGAGCAGTAGTAGCACATAGGTTATTACGGCTTATATAATATTGTATAAAGAAAAGCCTATTATTTCATTAGACTCATGCATGAAGAAGACATGCTCAGTATCAGACAGAGCAGACAAGTGATATTAAGCTCTCTCTCTCTCTCTCTCTCTCTGTGTGTGTGTGTGTGTATGAGAGAGAAAGAAAGAGAGATGGAGAGAGAGAGATGGAGAGATGGAGAGAGAGAGAGGAGTTAAATTGCTGAAGACCTGATTCAGGTAAGATACCAAGACTAATAGGAACTATACTATGGATTAATAGTAGTCATACTAGTAAGTAAGACATTTGAAGCTAAAGAATCCTATCTCTCTCCTATCTGAATGTTCCTAAACCAATTCTGGCAGGAACATGCCACACAAACACCTGTTGCAATAGGCAAGATTTCCAGAGGTGATCAAAGTATTTGGCCAGCTACATATGTCAGTGGCATAGTGTTCATCATGCTGGTCAACGTTGTTCAATTTAGCCTGTATATTAAGTGAAAGCTACAATGTCTCAAGTCAGAGAGCAACAGGAAGTCCATCAAATAGTCTTTGAATAAGTCTGAAATGATTTGAAAGCACTTTATGTGATCGAACATCTGAAATCAATTTCAAGGTACAATTTATCTGAATCTCCTTCAAATCAAAACATCCCCTTCAAACTTTGCACAGTTCTGTTATATCCTATCAAAGTTTGTTGCAATGAGGCTGAAATCATCACTAAATTTGGAGCTCATGGTTTGGGTCTTTGACTCCCCCCCCCTCACCTTGATAAAACTGAGCATCACTTAAAACATCTTTAATTCTGATAATAGATGCAGTTATATCAGGTGAAGGTCAAGGACCTGAATAAATTCTTTTGTGAAGACGATTAGCAGGCCTTTGAAATGAAAAGACTCATGCATCAAATCATCTTATGAAAATAGAATTAGAAATGATGAGCTTTAAAATAAATTGTAATTTTATGAAATTTATTGCAGAATGTATTGTATTGGCAACGTGTAAAAGATTGCTAAGTGATACCTCCCATTTAGGGAATTAGCGCAGAAAGGAATTGTGTTGAACAATTAGTTTTCCTCTATGTAGTTCTTGCTTTACCGTCCTTTGTTATATTTTACCATAAATCAGTAAGAGAGGTGTTTATATCTTACATATAAAATTAAATGGAAAATGAATCATAATTCAATCTGGGCCCCATTACATAATACTAACAGGCCTTATTTATTTATAAAATTTATATAGCTGCTCATCTCACTAAGAGTGGTTCTGGGTAGCATACAACAGAGCCCTAGACATAAATTTATTTGACTTAGTTCTAAGCAAATATGCATTCAATTAGGCTCTTAAACTTATACTGTATGACATTTTTCTGATAGCCAATACTGATTTTCCCAAGTTACTCAAGTAAGAACACTGAGTGTTGCAACTTAAAATTGACCTCTTATTTGGTGAGTTGAAGTAAGAAGTGTTGTATAAGACACACCTTTTTCCCTTAAAAGAGGCTGAAAATCTGGGTGCGTCTTATACCCTGAATACAGCATTTTTTTGCCTCCTGAAACCCCGCCCCTTCACCCAAATGGCCGTGCATAGCTTGTAGGAGGCTTTCAGAGAGCTCCTGGGGAGGGCAGAAACAGGCAAAAAAACCCGGCCAGTTTTTTCCTCAATTTTACCCCCCTAGTCCCCAGGAGCACTCTACAAGCCTCCTAAGGGCTATTCATGCCTTTTGAAAAAAAAGGCCAGTTTTCATGAAAAACAGGCCATTTTTGGGAGGTTTGCAGAGTGCAAAAACTTTTTTTTAAATTTGCCTCTTCAAAACCTTGGTGCATCTTATACTTCAGTGAGTCTTATACTCTGAAAAATACGGTATTTCAAAGGGTAGCCACTGCCCTGCATTAATTTTTAGATATAACAGTGTTCATTCTACGGTGGCCAAATGCCTTCAATTAATGAAAAACATTATTGCTACATTGGCAGAATTTCATTCTGACAAACAGCATGTCAGCGCAAAAGTGAACAGCTTTGAATTATATCATACAGTGTCAGAATGATCTNCTCAAGAAAAAGATCCTCCCCAAGTGTCATCTCCTGGTGACCACAAGGCCCATGGGGGGTGGGAGCCCGCTGTTGAAGTGTCTGAGATCACCACTCCTGGTAGATGTGTTGGGCTTTGACCCTCTTCAGAGGAAGGAATATTTCCGCCACGTCTTTCAAAATACGGAACAAGCCAACCAGATCTTTGAACTGGTTCAAAGAAATGAAACTCTTTTCAGGATGTGCCTCCTCCCCGCAACCTGTTGGGTCATTGGTTCCATTTTCCAACAAAACCCACAGGCAGAACTCCTTCGAGATATCCCCGAAACTGCAACACTCACCGAAATTCACCTGCGTCTCCTCTTGAGTTTTTTGGGTACCAATTCCAGGCCACGTCACCTGGAAGTCCTGTGCTCTTTAGCAAAAGATGGAATACTCCACGGAAGGTTGGTCTTCCATGAAGAAGAGCTAAAGGAATGTGGCTTGGATTATTACTTGACTTCAGACTCTCCTTCTGCAAATAGGAAAGTCTTCCACCAAGATGTTCAGGTGGAAACCTTGTACAGGTTCACCCACCTGAGTTTCCAGGAATTCTTTGCAGCCTTGTTCTACCTGCTGGACACGGAGGAGACCACTGGGGCACCTGACCGAGACCTGAGTGAGGTATTTGGAGATCGGAAGGAGCGCACCAGCAGGTACCTCGTGTTGATCCGTTTTCTCTACGGCTTGTGCAACATGGAAAGGATGAGTGTCCTTCAAGAATCGTGGTCCCTCAAACTATCCAGGACGAAAGTTTGGCCAGAATTGCTAAGGTGGGTGGATCAGGAAGCCAAAACTCACCCCTTTAAAGGGGAAGAGGTTCTGCTGGAATTGTGTCATTGTATTTATGACATGAAGGACTCCGTCTTTGCCCAGAGAGCAATGAACGACGTCCACGATCTGGATCTCAGAACACAACTTTTGACCAGGCTGGACTTTGAAGCTTTCTCGTTTTGCCTGTCAGCTGCTGAAACTTTGAATTCGGTCCGTCTCTCTGGCTGTGAGTTTGGACCACAAAGATTCCAACAACTTTTGCCAGGATTCCTGAAATCTTCAGAGATCCAGTAAGTAGAAAGAGGCCCAAGGCAGTTGAGTTGGCCATGGGTTCAAAATATATATCATTTGTTTGTCCTGGATCGCAATCAATACCGATAGTCTCTGAGCAGGGGTGGCTGTCAGGCTTCCAAAAGAGGCCCTAATTGATTCATGAGCCTCGAGCCAAGTTTCAAAAGCAAAACAGTCGTTTATTAGGAGCACCATTTCAGCAATACCCCATTGCCGTCAGATCTAACCTCATTTGAATTATAACTGAACTTTACCCCTTTCCTTCCCTCCCCTCAATCACATTCTCCAGTGAGGTGCACCCCCCCAAAGCCTGCTGTAGTAATCTGAGATCCGACTCTAGCTGAAGGTATGAGTGGAATGCGCTCCCCCCTTTCCTCATCATGCAACTTTATGAGTTGACAGTGGGATTGAAAAATTTTAGCAACCGGTTGTCTGCCAGGTTGCTGGTTGGGTGTGGCCCTGGGTGGCATGGCCTACTCAGTCCCTGCACCATGAGGGGGGTGTTTTCACCCTCCCCAGGCTCCGGAGGATTTCCTTGAGCCTCCGGGAGGGTGAAAGAATCCTCCCCTGGGTCCGGAGGATTTCCTTTAGCCAGCCACTCCTTCCAACTACCGGTTCATCCAACCAGATGAAATTAGCCTCCAGCTCGCCCGAACAGGCTGAATCCCATCCCTCTTTCTGATTTACAACAGTTCATTTAGTGACTGTTCGAAGTTACAAGGGCACTGAAAAAAGTGACTTAGGACTGTTTTTCACACTTACGACCATTGCAGCATCCCCAGGGTCACGTGATCAAACTTTACATGCTTGGCAACTGTCTCATGTTTATGATCGTTGCAGTGTCCTGGGGGGGGGGTCACACGATCCCCTTTTGCGACCTTCTGACAGGCAATGGGGAAGCTGGATTTGCTTAACAACCGTGGGAGTTGAAACCCACCCGTCTTCGAAGTGGACAAGGTTGAAAAACCTTCACCCGATGGCTGATCGTCAAAGTATGAAAACGAGGCAATCACAGAATCACAGAGTTGGAAGGGACCTTGGAGGTCTTCTAGTCCAACTCCCTGCTCAGGCAGGAAACCCTACACCCGTGATGGTGAACTTATGGGCATGGGTGCTACAGGTGGCACACACAGCCATTTGTCAGGGCACGCAGGCACACTGGCCAGCTGACTTCGGCCTTCTTTTGAGGCCGTTTTCCGCCCTCCGGAGGCTTCCCTGAAGCCTCCAAAGCACGAAAAACCGGCCCTATGGGCAGACCGCGCATTCAAGAACAGACTTCCGGTTTGCTCATAGAACGGTTTTTCGCCCTATGGGGCCTTCAGTGAGGCCTCCTGAAGGCCCCTGAAGGCTCCAGAGGGCGAAAATCAGCCCTACGGACAAACCGGAAGTCACCATTCCTGAACCTCCAGGTTCCCCCTAGATACGTTTTTTGCCCTCCGGAGGCTTCAGGGAAGCTCCTGAGGCCTCCAGAGGGCATCCAGGGAGGCTGTTTTCACCCGCTCCAGGCTCCTAGAAAGCCTCTGGAGCCTGGTGAAGGCGAAAAAACCGTGGCAAAAGCAGGGGGCTAGTTGCTGATTGCATGCATAGCATTATGGGTGTGGCATGCTGGCGCACGACCCCCGCTATGCTCCCCTCGTTTTTGGCACGGCATCCAAAAAAGGAATTCCATCACTGCCCTAAACCAATGATGGTGAACCTTTTCGGCACCAAGCACCCAAACCGAAATGCGCACGCTGGAGCCCTGAAAACCCGGAGACCATCTGGCCGGTGCGCATGTGTGAACCAGCCAGATGGCCTTTGCGCGCTCTGGAGCCCTAAAAACTGGACAACCATCTGGCCACTTGGCCTTCGGGTTTCTGGAATGCACATGGGTGCCAGCCAGCTATTCTTCGCGTGCGCCAGAGTGCCGGAAATCTGAAGATGAGGTGGCCGATGTGCAGCTGGTCCTCAGGGCTCCGGGGCTCCAGCATGAACAAAGATCATCTGGCCGACCGCAGGCCGGAAACCAGAAGAGCAGCTGGCAATGGTGTGTGTGTGTGCCCAAAGAGAGTACGTACTCCACATGCCACCCCTGGCACACAGACCCTAGGTTGGCCATCACAGCCCTCTACCGCTTCAGACAAAGGGTTGCCTCATGCGTTCTTAAAACCCTCCAGTGTTGGAGCACCCACAACTTCCGGTGGGAAGCGGTTCCACTGGTTCATTGTTCTCCCTGTCAAAAAATTCCTCTTCAGTTCTAGTTTGGCTCTCTCCTTGATTCGTTTCCCTCCGTTGCTCCTTTTTCTACCTCCATGATGGGGAGCCTATGGCACACAAAGCCCTCTCTGCTGGCACCATCGCCCCTGGGAAGGTCTCTGCGGTGTTAAGATCAAGAAAAAGAAAGAAACTAGGCAAATATGATTTAAATAGGAGCCAGCCGTGTGCAGCAACTGCCAAAAAAGCCAACACGGTTCTAGGCTGCATCAACAGAGGGAGAGAATCAAGATCACGTGAAGGGTTAATACCACTTTATAATGCCTTGGTAAGGCCACACTTGGAATACGGCATTCAGTTTTGGTCACCACGATGTAGAAAAGATGTGAAAACCGTATAAAGAGTGCAGAGAAGAGCAACAAAGATGATTAGGGGACTGGAGACTAAAACATATGAT